GTTGTTATTTATATATATTATTGATTTGTTATTATTGTGTTTATTGTTATTATTTCATTATCATGTTATCATTATTATCATTATCATATTATCATTTTTATCATTATTATTATTATTTTATATATTATTATCATTATCATTATATTATTTCATTATTATTATTATAAGTATTATTATAATTATCATCATTATCATTATTGTCATTATCCTCATTATTATTATCATCATCATCATCATTATTATCATCATCATGACCTCTATCCTGACTTCCTCCCCGGACGCTTAGGCAAGCTTGGCATCGGAGAGGTGGACTCCTGGACGACCGCCCGTGAGTTCGCCGCCCGCCTTCTGGAGGAGAGGGGCGTCGAGGAGACTTCGGGCTGGACGGTGGCCATCACGGAGGACGAGGCCATGACCGAAATCCCCGGCCTCGAGTACGTGCTCGACCTCATAGGCGAGAGGGAGCTGCCACCCGCTTTCCCGAGGTGTACCTCCAGTTCGCTGCACTCAGGTGAGGGGGACGTCGGGGTGTGGTCCTTGTGTCTGTGCTTCGTTGTTGTTGTTTTTTTTATTATTATTATTTGGTTTTGATGGTTTTATTCGTATGTATGTTTTCGTTATTATTTAGTTTGGGGATTTTGGGGGGATAATTGATTTTAGGGATTTTTTACCAGCTAATTAATTTTAGGGATTTTTTTCCAGCTAATTAATTTTAGGGATTTTTTTCCAGCTAATTAATTTTAGGGATTTTTTACCAGCTAATTTTTTAGGATTTTTTTCCAGCTAATTAATTTTAGGGTTTTTTTTTTTTCCAGCTAATTAATTTTAGGGATTTTTTTTTTACCAGCTAATTAATTTTAGGGATTTTTTACCAGCTGATTAATTGGGGGGGGGGGCTTTTTCCGGCTAATGAATTGTTGGATTTTTTTATTTTTCCGAATAATTTAATTTTGGGATTTTGATAAAAAGTTCTTGTAAACACTTTTACTTCCCAAATGCCATTTTTTATAGACGCCGAATTCAGAAATTATCGTATTTCTTATTTCTTCTTTATTTATTCTTTTATTTCATGTTTTAGTTATTAGTTTTTTATGTGTTTATTACTGTATCTTTATTTTTTAGTTATTTTTTTATTTTCAGTTATTCATTTATTTTTTTATATTTTTATTCATGTTTTACCCATTAGTTTTTTTTATGTGTTTATTATTGTATCTTTATTTTTTAGTTATTTTTTATTTTCAGTTATTTATTTATCTTTTTTTATTTATCTTTTTTTTTTCTTCAGGTATCTTTATTTTTTAGTTATTTTTTTCAGTTATTTATTTATCTTTTTCATTATTTTTTTTCTTCTTCAGGATCCCGACCAGAACGAAGGTCATCGGCGCCAGTGCCTCTTCCGGGGATGGACGCCGCCGATGGAGCGGCTCTCGACGAGTCACCCGTGGTTGCTAGGAGGTAAGGGGGAGGGAGAGGGATGGAGGGAGAGGGAGAGGGAGGGTGTGAGAGGGGAGGGATGGAGGGATGGAGGGGGGAGGGGGATGGATGGAGGGACAGGGGAAAGGAGGGAGGGAGAGGGAGAGGGGGGAGGGAGGAGGGAGAGGAGGGAGGTAGGTAGGTAGGGAAATAGGGAAGGAGATGGAGGGAGGGAGGGAGGGAGGGGAGGAGGTAGGGAGAGGGGAAGGAGGGAGGTAGGTAGGGACAGGGAAGGAGGGAGAGGAAGGGAGAGAGGGAGGTAGGTAGGGAGAGGGAGGGATGGAGATAGGGAGAGAGAGAGAGAGGGGGGAGGGGAGAGGGGAAGGGGAGGGAGGAGGGAGAGGGAGGGGGAGGAGGGAGGGAGAGGGAGGGAGGAGGGACAGGGGGAAGGAGAGGGAGGAGGGAGGTAGAGGGAGAGGGAAGAGGGAGGGAGGGAAGAGGAGGGAGGAGGAGTAGAGGGAGAGGAGAGGGATGGAGGAGGGAGGTGGTAGGAGAGGGAAGGAGAGGAGGTAGGCAGAGGGAGAGGGGAAGGAATGGGAGGGGGAGAGTGGAGAGGGAGAGAGGGATGGAGGGGGGAGGGGGAAGGGGAGAAGGAGGGGGGATGGATGGAGGGATGGAGGAGGAGGAGGAGGGGAGAGGGGAGGGGGAGGATGGAAGGAATGAGGTAGGTAGAGAGAGGGAGAGGGATGGAGGGGGGGAAGGAAGGGAAGGAGAGGGGGAGATGGTGAGAGAGAGGTTAGAAGGGGAGGGAAGGAAGGGAGAGGGGGAAGGGGGGAAGGAGCAGCAGGAGGGGAGAGTCGGAAAGGGGAGAGAAGGAGTAGAGGGAGAGAGAGAGAGTGGGGAGAGAGGGGAGAGGGGGGAGGGGGGGGGAAGAGAGAGAGAAGAGAGAGAGGAAGAGAGAGAGAGAGAGAGAGGAGAGAGCGAGAGAGAAGCAGAGAGAGAACCAGATGAAGAGAGAGAACCAGAGAGAGAGAGAGAACCGAGAGAGAGAAACCATGAGAGAGAGAGAGAAGCCAGAGAGAGAGAGAGAGAGAGAGAGAGAGAGAGAGAACCAGAGAGAGAGAGAACCAGAGAGAGAGAGAACCAGAGAGGAGAGAGAAACCAGAGAGAGAAGAACCAGAGAGAGAGAGAACCAGAGAGAGAGAGAACCAGAGAGAGAGAGAACCAGAGAGAGAGAGAACCAGAGAGAGAGAGATACCAGAGAGAGAGAGAACCGAGATGAGAGAGAGAGAGAGAGAGAGAGGAGAGAGAGAGAGAGAGAGAGAGAGAGAGAGAGAGAGAGAGAGAGAGAGAGAAAGAGAAAGAGAAAGAGAGAGCAGACATAACATATTTTAACCTATAAACCCTTCATTAAAACCAATCTAACCACTTTCCCCCTTCCCCTTCCCCCTCTTCCCCCGCAGGACGCGCGTCCCCGCCCCCGCTGAGAAGAGCTCTCCCGCGAGGCCCTGGAAGCCACGACCAGGCCCTCGAGAGCAGGGCGAGACAGTGACGGGCGACGCATGGGCCTGTCGCGGACCTCGGCGCCTCAACAACCGCTACTTCGACGACAAGACAAAAGCCAGGTCGCTCGATAACCTCTCGCGGGCCGCCGCGGAATAAAGGTGATGGGGGGACTTTGGGTGTCGTTGGGGAGTGTTTGGATTTGTTTTGTATTGTTTATTTTTGTTGTTTATTTTGTGTTTTGGGTTTTGTCTTCGTCGTCCCCAACAGAAGCTAGGTGTCTCGAGCAGCCTACACTAGCCACCTACGCACCCACCCCAACTACAACACAGTCACCCACCACACTTTCACCACCTACCAAACACACTCCCCCCTTCATCCCGCCAAACAGTACTGTCGGTCACTCCCACCCACCCACACCCACCCCACACCTACCCACCGCCCACCTACCCACCTACCCGACCTCCGCACTATCCCACCTACCACCTACCCACCTTACCCACCTACCACCTACACCACCTCCACCAACCACCACCCACTGACCCCCCTCGTCTCCCACACAGATGCTGGGTCTCTCGAGCAGCCGCCTCAACGACCGGTACCACAGCGTCGAGCGCCTGGCGGAGCAGCGGGGTCTCTTCGGCGGCACGGAAGGACCTCAGGACCTGGACCACCTCGAGTCCGTGTCGCAGAGGGGCGTGGCCAAGTCCCTCTCGGGATCCCGGACGTGGAACAAGTATGATCTGCTTGAGGAGAGGTAACGGATAGGGAGGTTGTTAGGGTTTTTTTGGGGGCGGGGTTTCGTTTTTTTTTCTATTTCTTCGTTTTCTTTTTCTTTCTTTCGTTTTTTTTTTTTTTTTCTTTTTTGTGTTTATTTCTTTTTTCTGTTTCTGTTTCGTTTTTTTTTCCTTTTTTGTTTCTGTTTTTTTTCTTTTTCTGTTTTTTTTCGCTTTCTTTGTTTGTTTTTTCTTTTTCTGTTTATTTTCCTTTCTTTGTTTCTAATTTTTCTTTTTCTGTTTTTTTTTTCTTTTGTTTCTGTTTTTTTCTTTTTCTATTTTTTTCCTTTCTTTGTTTCAGATTTTTCCACTCTTTTATCATTATTTTTTTTGTCTTTTTTTCTTCTGCTGGCATCTGCCTTTTCTTTCGTCATCTTTATCTTTCTATCCTCCTCCTTCTCCTCTTCCTCCTCCATCATCTTCAGCTTCTCCTTCTCCTCCTTCTTCCTCCTTCACCATCATCTTCTCCTCGTCCTCCTCTTCCTCCTCCTGCCTCCTCCTCTTCCTCTTCCTCCTCCTCCTCTTCCTCCTTCCTCCTCCTTCCTCCTCCTCCTCCTCTCTCCTCCTCCTCCTCCTCCTTTCTTGTCTTTTTCTTCTTTACATTAATTGATTTGTTATTTCTAGGGCATTTGGGTGTGTCTCATGTGCAGATTGATGCAAAGGAATATTTTATTGTGTTTTAGGTAAGATAGTTCCCCCCTCTACCGTCACCCCTTTCTCTTCCCCTCTTCCTCCTTCTTTCAGCTTCTCCTTTTCCTTTCACCACTCTCTCTCCTCACCCCTACACTCCTCCCCCTTCCCCCTTCCCCTTCATCTCTCCCTCTGCCTCTACCTTCCCCCCTTCCCCTTTCCCCTTTCCTCACCCCCTTCATACCTTCCCCCTCGCCCCTTTCCTCTTACCCCATCCCCTTCCTCCGCGCCCCCATTCCTCCTTCCTCTACTCCCTGCTCACTCACTCCCATCCCCCATCCCCTCCCATTCCCCCTTTCTCCACTCCCTACTCACTCACTCCCTTCCCCTTCAAACCCCCACCTTTTCCCCACTTCCCCTTCCCCCTCCCCTTCCCCATCCCTATCCCCCCTTCCCCCCTCCCCCCATCCCCTTCCCATCCCCATTTTTCCCCTTATCCCCCCTCCCTATCCCCTTCCCTCCCATCCCTTTCCCCCTTCCCATTTTCCCCCTTTCCCCTTTCCCCATCCCCCATCCCCCTCCCCACACCCTACTCTTTTCCCTCCCTTCCCCTCCCATCCCTTTCCTCCACTCCCCCTCCCCCCTCCCCATCCCCTTCCCCTTCCCTCCCATCCCCATCCCCCATCCCACTTCCTACTCACCTCTCCCTCCCTTCCTCCCCACAGAAACGGCGAGGACCCTTCCCTCCCATCCCCTTTCTCCATCCCCCATCCCCCATTCCCCCACACCCTACTCACTCCCTCCCTTCCCCCTTATTCCCCCTCCCCCCAATCCCCTTCCTCCACCCCTACTCACCCTACTCACTCCCTCCCTTCCTCCTTTCCTCCCCCACAGAAACGGCGAGGACGAAGTGAAGACGGAGTACTCCCGCGTGTCCAACCGGTACATCAAGGGCGTCCACGCGGGCAGGCGAGGTCACGGCGGGTCACACCACTCGAGCCGAGCCTACATCGAGCGGGAGTACCTCAAGTCCTCGGCCATGTCGGATACGAGCGAGGCGCCGTCGCTCGGTGGGTGTTTGGTTTGGTGTTTTTGTGTGTTTGGTTGTTTGATTGTTTGAAGTTTTTTTTTTTTATTGCGTTTTTTACTTTTTTTGTCTTTTTTTTGTTGAAGTGTTTTTAGTGTTTGTTTGTTTCTTGTTTTTATGTAAAAAAATGTATGAATGTATTTTTTGTCTTGAAAATAACTATCTAAAAAGACCCAAAAGATCCAGTTATATATTTTTTCTCCTTCCTCAGGCCCTATACGAGATAAAGACCTCGTTATTCATTTCAACACCAAAAAGACCTCATTCTTTATTTTAAGACCCCAAAAGACCTCATTATTCATTTCAAGACCCCAAAAGACCTCATTATTTATTTAGACACCAGAAAGACCTTATTATTCATTTCAAGACCCCCAAAAGACCTTATTATTTATTTAGAGACCCAAAAAGACCTCATTATTTATTTCAAGACCCCCAAAAGGACCATTATCTATTTAGAGACCCAAAAAGACCTCATTTTTATTTTTCGAGACCCAAAAAGACCTCATTATTCATTTCAAGACCCCAAAAGACCTCATTATTTATTTCCCTTCCTCTCTCTCCTCACAGCCTCCCACGTCCGCCGGGTGCGCGTCCCGTCCCAGGCGTCCGACGTCGACCAGTTCCTCGACGACCTGTTCATGCCGGTGCTGAACTCCCAGCTGGACGAGCTCTCCGACGCCCGCTCCCTCGCCGCCTCCATCAAAGGCGGCGGCAGGACGGCAGGAGGAGCAGGAGCCCCGGGGATCGAGGCTCCTTACGGCGACGACGGCAGCGACTTCGATTACGACGAGAGCATCGTCTTGGCGAGGTGAGGGGGATGGTGGGGTGTAGGGGGGAGGGGGTAGGGTCGGTTTATTTGTGTGGGGGGGGTTGTGGGTGAGGGGTTGCTGTGTTTTTTTTTTTTTTTTGGGGGGGGGGGGTTGTTTCGATTGATTGCGTATTGTGTTTGTAAACATGTGCAAAATATTTTTTTTCTTGGATGTTATAACGCTATCGAGAGGAATGCCTCTTTTTTTATGAGCATTACTTTCATCAATATTATGAGAAAAAAATAGCTGTATTTATGATATTCCTTACCTTTCTATGCAAATATGATACTGACTCGGTCCCTCCTTCCAGAACGCGCCAGGGCTCCTTCAGAAGACAGAGCCTCCTCCAGACGCTGCAGGACGTTGACCTGAACGAGTCCCTGACGGCCCTGACCGCCGCGCCCCTGCTCGAGGAGGCGCTCAAGGGCGGAGGCCAGGGCGCCGCCGAAGTCGAGACCGGGGCGCCGCCACAGCCTGGGGCAGGCGGAGCGTTCTTCTCCAACACGTCCATGTCGGGGGCGCCCGGGTCGCCTCCGCCCTTCGTCATGCCCAACACCATGCCCCTCTACACGCCCGGAGGTGAGGCCCGCCCTGCTCCTTCGTGCCGGGAGTGATAGTAACGATAAGACAAGTGGCGTGATTGTAAAAGTGGTCGCATGTTGTATAATACAGCCCTAGAAGCATCAGTGATTTAAGTAATAACAAGAGCAATGGTAGTAGCAGAACGTTTATCTACTCAAGCTCAAAACCGAAGCAAAGGACATCCCTAACCAAGGCCCCTTCCCTTCCCTCCGCAGGCGTGAACGTCCCAGGCCTCCAGCAGCAGCAACAGACGCCGCAGGCCACCAACATGACGCCCAACCAGATCCTCGTGTACCAGCAGAATGTCCAGCGCGCCTTCCTGCAGTCCGCCGTGGCCCAGAACATCCAGATCCAGCAGCACCTGATGGCGCAGAACCAGGCGTTGCAGCAGCTCCTGTCGCAGTCGGTGCCGGTGAGTGGATAATGCCAAATCTCGGAGTCTTTCTCTGATGCCTGTGTGAGATGATTTGTTTCTTCTTATCTCATTTTTTTATTAATTTTGTGCGTGTGTTGCCATTGTGTGAGGAGCCGTGATAAAGAGTTAAGTGTGCATGTGAGTTAAGAGTACGTTGTTTTTTTCTCTCTATTTTTTATGATCATAGAAAAAGCAAAATAAAAAAAAAACATTTTTAGATGACTTTTAGGAATGATTCCTTTCCTTCGACTCCTGAGCGTGATATTTCCTGCAGCACATGGGCATGGCATCCCGGGACTTTAACCCTCAGAGTGCCCTCGGCCTAAATATACTTGGCATGATGTCCATGTCTGGCTTGCCCATGGCGGCTGGCATGCCCTTGTCGGGGATGCCGGGCCTGTCGGGGATGCCGGGCCTGTCGGGGATGCCCATGGCTTCTGGAATGCCCATGACGCCGGCAATGCCCATGGCAGCGGGTATGCCCATGTCACCAGGCATGCCGATGGCCCCTGGTATGCCCGCGGGCTTATCGGTGTCATCCGGCATGCCCATGACGACTGGCATGCCCATGTCCCCCGGGCTTCCCACGACGCCAGTGCCCCCCGCGGGCATGAATGGCATCGCAGGCTTGACAGGCGTCCCGGGCATGACAGGGACCCCAGATGAACCCCAGGTTGGCAGGGCTCACTACCGGGTGGGCGGGGACACGTACTCGCTCCCCCAGAGACGCGGCGTCGGCAGCAGCAACAAGGTACCTTTGTTGGGGCCGGGAGGACACCGCCACGACGGGGTCTCGCTTGTAGATCCGTTGACTCCCCTTCCAGCGAGCGCTTCTAGTCACCTTTAATTCCTAGTCTCGCCTCTTTACTCACCGTAGTCGCCGGAGCAAAGGGGCCAATAGCAGGTCACTTTTCTTTAGGGGGGAAAACACCACTAACCCGAGGGATCCACTTAGACTCCATGTACAGCAAAAGGGTCGGGTGTGCTTCGGATTCTGTGCTGCCGCTGGCCCATCTTAACCCGAACGGTGGCAGAAACTCGCCTTCTAGGGCTTTCACTACGGATACTGGATCATTTCCGCTTTTCATAATTATTCATTTTTCCCTACTTTGCTTCTGAGGACAACAGGACGTATCGTACTTCTTTGTGGTCTTTCATGATTTTTTTTTTCTTTCACTCTGAATACCTTCTGAACAGATATATGCATAAATGTGATTATCATTTCACTGTGAGACATCCGTATCCACTTTTTTTCTTGTTCTTTCCAACCTTTTATCGCCCATACAAAATATAGAACGATAATAATAGATAGATAGATATCACGGATTCTGTGCTCGCAGGTGTCGTTCCAAGAGCCGGAGCAGAGCGAGCTGTGGAGCACCGAGAAGGCCGGGAGCGCCGAAGGAGGCAAGGAAGGGGCCCAGGGAGGGAGCCAGAGGCCTTCCGTCCCCTCGATGTCCCCGCCTCCGCCCTTGGTGATGCTGAGTCCGGGCAGCTCGGCGCCCATGTTCTCTCAGGCGGCGGCGCTCTCCTCGCCCGTGCAGGACCAGTCGTCCAAGAAGACCTCGAACGCCTCCGATGACGCCAAGGTGGGTCGTGGGCGCCGCTGCTGTCCCCTCGCGTTAGTTGTAATGCCCAGTTAGGCTCCTATTGTGCTTGTGCTAAAGTCCTATACAGTTACACTCATGTGTCTTGTAACGGGTCAAGTGAGTCCCGCATACCACAGGGACGTCCCACTGCCCTCGTATGCATATAGACTAAAAGGTTTAGGGCATCAGTGTAACGCGTATACCTCGGTGATTAGCGATGGATCTTTGGTCTCCAGTTTTAGAGGTTCCCTTTGACATCACTCCAAAGGCTCATGATAGAGGGTATTAGTGACTACTCGTGGGTTGTTTGTTTTGCTTTTTTCGAGTCGTTAGTGGACCCTGGGCTTCTCGTGTGCACCTCACCTGTTCAGTGGGATCGACCCAGCACCTCAGTCTCTTCTAATGCACCTGCATGCCTCTGGCTCCCCTTCTCCAACCTTCAGATGTTCCACGACTTTAGCATAGGACCAGGGTCTCCGGGCTCGCTTGGCTCGCCTCCAGGAAACGCCTTCGGAGCCACCGAGTCTCCGTGGGGGGGCGTGGTGCCGCCTCCCCCGCCCATGCCGACGCACCTGCAAGGGGAGGTATGTACGCGAACCAAGAGCAAAAGCCGTCGAAACCGTTGTCTGTCTGTCAGAGAAAAGCCTCGAAAAGCCTGTAGTTTGCTTCTAGAGTTCAGACTTCCGTTAAAGCTTTCATGAAGCAGTTATACATAGTGGGATGAAACAGAGTCAACTTGCTTCCATTCCCCCAAAATATATCAATTTATTTGTATGTACAGTACTATCGATCCCTTTCCCCGACGTGATTTGTAAACACCAGACTGCTTATTAATCAGTTTAATTCTCTCCTAAATCCGGATAATGTGTTCACTCGCCTGACTGTCTCCTTCGCCCTAAGGACGGCCAGGGAGGCTTCATGGACCCTTACCAGCGAGCCAAGACCGTCAGGATAGGCAAGTGGCGTTGGCCTCCTCCCAAGGGCGAGGAGGATCCCAACGACTCCTTCCTGCAGTTCAAGATCAGGCAGCAGAGCAGGAAGACCTCCAAGCAGAGCGACGGAAGGGTGGGTTTTACTGAGAGAATATTGTGTGTGTTGTATTTATTTATTTGTGTGTGTGTGTGTTTATTTGTGTGTGTGTGTTTATGTGTATGTTTGTGTGTATAGATAGATTAGGTAAATAGATCTATATATATATATATATATTATATATATTATATAATATATATATATATATATATATATATATATTATTTACCAGTATTACAGATTGATATGAAACGTTGATTACAATCATCCCGAGATATTTTTCATATGCAAGTACTGTCAAATATCTTGTAGTACAGTTATACTCATGGATAACCGATGGAAAATCATTAACCACAAATACCACAAATTATTCAAAGACAAATACCAATAATGACATTTATGAAAATACGACTAAACAATCTTCATTAATTAATGCAACGACAATTCGTTCCCGAGAGAGCCAGCCGGAGTATAAGTCACAAGGACCCCTTCCCCCCCTCCCCCGACTCCCAGCGCCCGAGCCGCGACGAGAGCTTCGGCGTGGAGTGGGAGGAGTTCGAGATGGGCGGCATCCCGAGCAGCGCCGAGCAGAGCCCCCGCAAGGACAGCCACGAGAAGATCCAGATGCAGATGCAGCAGATGCAGCTGGAGGGACAGGGGACCGCAGCACAGACCAACGGCTTCGGCCGCGATTTCCCGAGGGACGCGACGGACGGCAAGGAGAAGGAGAAGGAGAAGGGCGCCCCACGCAGGCGGAGGGACTCGTGGGACAACCCCATGGACGAAGGGAAGTCGCCGGGCATCGGGAAGCTCAAGATTTCGCGCGAGATGAGGGAGAAGCTGGAGGCGCTCACGTCGTCGCATCCGTCGAGGTGAGGCGGAGGCGCAGGCGGAGGGGGACGTCGTATTTTGGGGGGATTGTTATGGTGTTTGTGTGTTGTTGTTTATATTTTTGTTTTTAATTTATTTAGGATTGTTATAATCATTACTTCGATGTATTTGATGTCACTGCTATTACTGTTATCATTATAAGCATGATTGTGAGTTTTCTGTTTTTGATAATCACTGTATATTAGTACCGTTATCCTCAATTTGATGATCATTAGTGACTATTATCATAGTCCTGTAACGGCGCTTACCTTTATTGTTGTCTTGAAATGGTCCAATGATGCATCTATCGACCTCCCCCCCCCAGATCCCAAGAAGAGCCCGACCCAGAAGCAGACGCGCGGCGTCCCCAAGAAGCTGGAGGCGCACCGCCAGTACCTCCTTCAGCACCAGCTGGAGGGCGACAAATGGGACACCGTGGACTCGTCGAAGGGCGTGTCCTCCAAGGGCGAGAAGGGCGCCGTGCCCCCCCGCCGCCCATCGCCCGCCCACGCCTTCTCGGGCAGCTCGCGGGCGGACGTCCGGTACCACCGGTCCAAGTCCCCGGACCCTTCGGTGTCGTCGCAGGAGAGCTCGCCGGTCATCCCGCAGCCGAGGTCGCCCGCCGCCCGCCCATCCAGCCTCCGTCGGGCTTTTCCTGCGGCGGCATCGAGCTGCGCGTCGAGGCCAGCGATCGCCGCACCTCCGTGTCCACCATGCACACCGAGAAGACGGAGCATTTCGAGCGTGAGTCGAGGATCTGCTCTCGTCCATTCCCCTGTGGCGCTTTCGTCGTTGTTTTTGTCATTCAGATTAGCTTTGTTCCCCGTGTGATATATAGCGAATTAATGTTGTTTTTGTAGACTCCCTTGCGATACTTCTCTTCTTGTTATTGTCTTTGTACCCTGTGTGATATTTAACAAACAAATACCTCTTTGAAGGCCATCGTAGTTATGCCACATTCATCGCAAAGCTTCCCCACCATATAACGAAAAAGAACACTAGACACAACAACGAACTTAATAAGTAACGGGAAAGAACACTGGACACAACGACGAACAGAATAAAGAAAGAATAAGAACACAACACAGCAACGACCATAAAAGATAACGAAAAAAGAACAATTAACATAACAACAAGCGTAATACAAACCGATAAAGACCATTAACACAATAATAACGCCCATCCCTCCTCAATCCCCACACCTAACGATCCTTCCCCTTCTTCCCCAATCGCAGTGGAGGAATCGTCCGAGTTCCTGCAGCCGGTGGACCAGGCGCCGATCCTCGTGGACAAGGAGATGGAGAAGAGATCCTACGAGGCTATGAAGACCCGCCTGCTTCCGGCGCCGCACAGCCCCCACCTCACGTACTCGCGCGTCCCTTGGTCTCTCACCCTCAGGAAGGAGGTGAGGAACCAGGTCTTGGAGGATGTGTGTGTGTGTGTGTGTGTGTGTGTGTGTGTGTGTGTGGTGTTGTGTGTGTGTGTGTGTGTGTGTGTGTGTGTGTGTGTGTGTGTGTGTGTGTGTGCTTGGTGTGTGTGTGTTGTGTGTGTGTGTGTGTGTGTGTGTGTGTGTGTGTGTGTGTGTGTGTGTTGTGTGTGTGTGTGTGTGTGTGTTGTGTGTGTGTGTGTGTGTGTAGGGGGTGGGGGGGAAGAAGAGTGGGGAGTGAAGTCTTGGGGAGGGCATTGAGGGAGTGTGTGTGGGTAAAGGAGTGCTTCGAAGGAGTGTGTGTGGGAGGGGAATTGAGGCCTAGAGGAGTGTTTTTGTAGGAGTGGGTGTGGGTAGCGAGGCTTCAGGGAGTTTTTCGAAGGAGTGTGTTTGAGTAGTGGTGCCTTGGAAGTGCTTTGAAGGGAGTAAGTGTGGGGGAGTGAAGACTTTAGGGAGTGCATAAAGAATGTATGTGTGTGTAAAGGAGTGTGTGGGGTGAATGAGGCCTTGGGGAGTTCTCTGAGGGAGTGTGTTTGAGAAGTGAGGCCTTAAAGAGTATTCTGAGGGTGTAGATGAGGAGAGCGAGGCCCAAGGAGTGTTGATAGAGTGTGTGGAGAGTGACCCCTAGAGGAGTGATTTGATGGAGTGTGTGTGGGAAGAAGAGACCGTGGGATTGTTTTGAAGGAGTGTGTGGTGAATGAGGCCCTAGGGTGTGCTTTGAGGGAGTGTATAGGGAGGGGTGTCCTTAGGGAGTGTTTTGATGTGTAAAGGATTGTCTTAAAGTAGTATGTATGGGAGGTGAGGCATTAGGGAGTCCTTTGAAGGATGTGTTTGAGAAACGATTCCCTCGGGAGTGCTTTGGAAGAGTGTGTGGAGAGTGACGCCCAGAGGAGTACTGTGAAGGAGTGTATATAGACCTGCAAGAGTTCTTAGAAGGGTTTATGAGAGAGTAAATCTGTACAGATTGATGGAGAGCATTGTGGGAGGGTTTATAAAAGAAAAAGGTTCGATATTTTATTTTTTTATGGTGGCCAGATGCTTCATTATATTTGGTTGAACGAAACATTTTTTAGTTTGTTCAGTTAATGACCTTAGATTGGTCTTCATCTTACTTGAAAATAAGAATTGTGACGCAGTATTTATGGAGCAGATCCACATACCAGATATTTTTTTCATATCAAAATAAAACCTTTAAAAATATCTTCTTAGAAAAGGTAAAAAAAAGTAGAACAGAATCGACCTTACACCAAAACCTCCAACCCATCTAAAAAATAAATGATAATAAATGATTAATAAAATAATAATAAGATAGAATAAAGTAATTGATCCCAACCCCCTATTTTCTTTTTGTCCCCCAGGTGTTCGCTCCAGGTGAGACGCTGCACGGAGAGGCCCTCCACCTGGTCTTCTGCCAGGTGGTGCTCGACGTGTACGCAGGAAACACGCCCAGGATTACACACGAGCAGCGCACGCACATGAGGAAGGTGAGACTGGTGGTTGTGTGGTGTGTGGTTGTGTGGTTGTCTTGGGTGGTTGGGTTGTATGGGGGTGGTGGGTGGTGGGGTTGTTGTGTGGTTGTATGGGGTTGTTGTGTGGTTGTCTTGGGTTGTTGGGTGGTTGTATGGTTGTGGGGGAGGGGGGGTAACTGGGTGTTTCGTTAGAGTGGAGTGAATTTTGTTGTTGTTGTTTGTTTTGGGAATGTATTTTTGGAGTTTCTGTGTGTTTTGATGGTGTTTTTGTTTTGTTTTTACTTGTGGAATTTCTCGATGAAAAATATAAACATTGGAAAAAATACACACACTTTAACTTAAAAAATACATATCTACACTCTAACTCCACATTTTACCCATATTTTACTTCTCGTTTACCCACCGTTTACCCACCACTTACCAACCACTTACCAACCATTTACCCACCACTTATCCACCACTTACCTACCACTTACCCACCACTTACTTACCTACCACACTTACCACTTACCACCGTTTACCCACCATTTACCCACCACTTACCAACCATTTATTTACCCACCCCCACCACTTTACCACTTACCAACCATTTACCCACCGTTTACCCACCACTTCTTTTACCCACTTTTGACCACCACCCCCACTTACCCACCACTTACCCACCTTTTCCAGATCATGGACAACCGCGGCATCACCCCGAACAACACCTTCTCGCAACACCACAAGACGAACGTGAAGCGAGAGATCGTCGACTTGGCCAAATCGTGGCCGCTCTATTTCGCCGCCATCTTCCCCGTTACGGTGAGTTTTTCGTTCTTTTCGTTTTTTTTTTCGTTTTTTCGTTTTTTTTTTCGTTTTTTTTTTTCGTTTTTTTTTCGTTTTCGTTTTTTTTTTCGTTTTTTTTTCGTTTTTCGTTTTTTCCGTATTTTTCTTTTTCTTTCTTTTTTCGTTTTTTCGGTTTTCTTTTTTTTGTTTTTTTTTTCGTTTTTTTCGTTTATTTAATTTTTATTTGAGGAAGGGGGGAGGAGGGAAGGAGGGTTGTATTTTTAGATTTTTTTTTATTTTTTTTTCTCCAATGGTTGGTGTTTTGCTTGTGTGTGTGTGTTTGGTGTTGTGTGCGTGTGTGTGTGTGGTGTGTGTGTGTGTGTGTGTGTGTGTGTGTGTGTGTGTGTGTGTGTGTGTGTGTGTGTGTGTGTGTGTGTGTGTGTGTGTGTGTGTGTGTGTGTGTGTGTGGTGTGTTGTGTGTGTGTGTGTGTGTGTGTGTGTGTGTGGTGTGTGTGTGTGTGTGTGTGTGTGTGTGTGTGTGTGTTTGAAGGGGTCACTTATGTGTTTTTGTTTTTTTACGTCTGTTTGAGAGGAATATTGTTTTTAGAGTAGAGAGGTATGTCTGTGTATGTTTGTTTTATTTGTTAGGCTGTTTGTGATTTTATTCTGTTTCATATAATTTTGTCGAAAGTATGAAATATGAAAAATGAAAAAAAATATAAAGATAAAAAAACAATAAAAATTATATAAAAGAAATATGAAAAGTGAAAAAAGTGATGAAAAGATAAAAAAAAAAATGATGGGGAATAATGTCCACTTGAATTGAGATAAAAGATGATTGCATGAGATTGAGAACAAAATGACATGATTCCCGTTTACTGTTTTATATCCCGTTTACTGTTTATCTCCCGTTTTCTGTTGTATCTCCCGTTTTCTGATGCATCGCGTTTGGATAACTTCCGTTTAGTCTAGTTGAAGTTCCGCATTTTTCCCTTTCATAAGCTTTACTATATATAATAGAAACATTTTCTGTTCAAACCAGATACAGATTAATAGTTGAATACCAAAAAAAGGTTGTGAAATCACCTAAAAATTGATATGACATCTACAAACACATCGAAAACGTAAATCACAACTCAAGCAACTCAGTATATATCGGAAACGGAAGAAAGATATTAAATGAAAAAAATGAATTATAATAATAATAATCAATTCTTTTTCCCCTTCTCCCTTTCCTCTCGCTCCCCTCCCCCTCCCCCTCCCTGGTCTCCTCTCTCTCCCCTCTCCCCCCTTCCCTCTTTCCTTTTCCCCTCTCCCTCTCTTCCTCCTCCCTCCCAATCCTCCTTCCCTGCTCTCCCTCTCCCCTCCCTTACTTCCTCCACTCTCCTCTTCCCCCTCCTCTCTCCCTCTTCTCCCCTCCACCTTCCTCCCCTCTCCCTCCTCCTTTCCCTCTCTCCCTCCTCCTCCCTCCTCTTTCCTCTCCCTCTCCCTCTTCTCTCCCCTCCACCTCCACCTTCTCACCCTCTCCCCTCCCTCCCCCCTCTCCCCTCCCTCCATCCCCTCCTCCCCTCTCCCTCTCTCACCCTTCTCCCCCTCTCCCCTCCCCCTCTCCCCCTCCACCTCCCTCCCCCTCCCTCTCTCCCTTCCCCCTCCATCCCCCTCCCTCCACCCACCATCCCCCCTCCCTCCCTCCCTCCTCCATCCCCCTCTTCCCTCCACCTCCTCCCCTCTCTCACCCCTTCCTTTCGTCACGACCTCAGGGTTCGCGCAAGTCAGGCGACGTGGAAATGGTGGCCGTGTCTCACTCGGGCGTCAGGCTGCTTCGGCGGGACCACAACCACCTCTCCGTCCTCAACACGTACAGGTAAGAGGGTTTATTATTTTTTTTTTTATTGTGGAGTCTCTTTCTTTCTCTGTCTGTCTGTCTATTTGTCTGGCTCTGTCTGTATGTCTGGCTCTGTCTGTCTGTCGCTCTCTCTGTCTGTCTGTCGCTCTCTCTGTCCTCTGTCTCTCTCTCTGTCTCTGTCTCTCTCTCTCTCTCTCTCTCTCTCTCTCTCTCTCTCTCTCTCTTGTCTCTCTCTCTCTCTCTCTCTCTCTCTCTCTCTCTCTCTCTCTCTCTCTCTCTCTCTCTCCTCTCTCTCTCTCTCTCTCTCTCTCTCTCTCTCTCTCTCTCTCTCTCCATACTTCTCCATCTTCACACGCACTCTCCCCTCCTCTTCCTCTTCCTCCTCCTGCTCTTCCCTCCTCCTGCTCTTTTTTTCTCCTCTTCCCTCCCTCCTCCTCCTCTCCTCCTCCTCCTCCTCCTCTCCTCTCTCCTCCTCCTCCTCCTCCTCCTCCTCCTCCTCCTCCTCCTCCTCCTCCTCCTCCTCCTCCTCCTCCTCCTCCTCCTCCTCCTCCTCCTCCTCCTCCTCCTCCTCCCCTCCCCATCTTTCCCACGATCTATGCCAACCTGCACAGTGTCCACACCAGAGATTTCCCAACCCGCAAAGCCTCCATTTCTGACAGTCAGCCACGGGTCGCCATGTCAGCTGAGAGAACCCGTAGTGTCATCCTGCGGGGAATGCGCACGTGTCATTTGTTTACGTTGGCGTGGTCCGGGTTTTCTGAAATGCGTTTGCGTAAGGAAAGGAGAGAGAGAGAGAGAGAGAGAGAGAGAGAGAGAGAGAGAGAGAGAGAGAGAGAGAGAGAGAGAGAGAGAGAGAGAGAGAGAGAGAGAGAGAGAGACTAGTGCAATTTTTGGTCATATAGTGGATCTGGGAGGGTAGTTTTTTGTTGGTGTTGTTATTATTGTTTTTTGTTGTTGTTATTTTTATTGTTATATTATTGTTATTATGCTTTTGTTATTGCTACTAATATTGTTATTGTTCTGATCATATTATAATTTCTTTTTCGTTTTCTTTTCCCACCTTCCATCTATCTCCATCCCCCTTCCCTCTCCACCTCCCTCCTCTCCAACTCACCCTCACTCCTCCTCTCCACCTCCCTCCTTTCTCCAACTCACCCTCCACTCCCTCCCTCTCCACCTCCCCTCTCCTTTCTCCAACTCACCCTCCACGCCCTCCAACCTTCCCCCTACAACCTCCTCCCTTCTTCCCCAACCTTCCCTCCACTCCCTCCCTCTCCACTTCCTCCCACCACCTCCCTCCTTCCCCCCTCCTTCCCCCTCCTCCTCCCCCCTCCCTCTTCACCTCCTCCTTCCCCCCTCCTCTTTCCCCCCTCCCTCTCCACCTCCTCCTTCCCCCTCCCTCCTCACCTCCTCCCACCTCCTCCTCCTCCCCCTCCCTCTCCACCTCCTCCCACCTCCTCCCTCTTCACTTCCTCCCTCCTTTCCCCAACCTTCCCCCCACCCTCCCTCTTCACCTCCCTCTCCACCTCCTCCCACCTCCTCCCTCTCCACCTCCTCCCACCTTCCCTCTCCACCTTCTCCACCTTCTCCACCTCCTCCCTCCTTTCCCCAACCTTCCCTCCTTCTCTAACCTTCCCTCCTTTCCCCACCTCCTCCCTCCACCCCCTCCACTCCCTCCTTTCCCCACCTTCCCTCCACTCCCTCCACCCCCCCACTCCCTCCACTCCCTCCACCCCCTCCACTCCCTCCACCCCCTCCTTTCCCCAACCTTCCCTCCACTCCCTCCACACAGTCTCGAGGAAGTGGAGGAGGCGGAGTGCCCTCGCGCGGGCTCCCTCCGCCTGACGGTGGCTGGGGGCGGCCTCATCGTCCTGTACACCCCGCGGGCGCGTCAGATCGCCGCCATCCTCAACAAGTACACTGCCTCGGCGCCTGTAAGTACACCCTTTTTTTTTGGCCTTGATTTTTGTTGTTGTTGTTGTTGTTGTTGTTTTGGTTTGATTATTTTTTTGCCCAGATTTTTGTTGTTGTTGTTTTGGTTTGATTTTTTTTTTCTTTTTTTTTTAGTTTTTTGGGTTTTGGGTTTTTTATTTATTTAGTCATTTATTTTCAGTTTTTGGTTTTTATTTATTTAGTCATTTATTTCCTGTTATTGGTTTGGTGGTGGTGGTATTGTTGGTTGTTAGTATTATTATTAGTGTAATTGTTGTTATTATTATCGTTGTTGTTATTATCGTTGTTATTATTGTTGTTATTTGTTACTCCTGCTATTACTACTATCATTATAGGAGTTACTATCGTAAAATTTGATCGCAATTGAGATGATCTTGGAATGGAACAGAAAGATTATGAATTCCTACTCAACCTTAAAAATATACAATATAACATTATGATATATCAAAGTGAAAGATCTATTGAAATCATATCCGTTTAAGAGATTTTTTTTTAAAGCAGTGGAAAGTGTCGAAAAAAATAAATAATGAAAAGAACTTGTGATAATTAGGAATATATATATTTTTTTAAGCAGTGGAAAGTGTCGAAAAAAAATCATCAACATGAAAAGAACTTAAGTGATAATTAAGCAATTAATTGATTTTATTGGCTTATGGTTGGAAATGAAGAAAATAAAAACACCTTTAAAAAAAGAAAAAAAAAAAAGTTTAAATCGATATTATAAGTTTACGGCGAGACAAATATCAAACGATGATAACTCAATGTAAACTTAATGTTAATGTTATGTATACAACTTATTATGATAGAAATAACTTGATATGATATATATATAACTTAATATATAATATAACTATAATATAAGATATATATATAACTTAATATAAGATATATATATAACTTAATATAAGATATATATATTTATAACTTAATATAAGATATATACATATATATAACTCCAAAAACATCGTAGAGAGAAAAAAAGAGAAAAAAAATTGATGTAAACGAAAATAATGAAAAAAAATTATTGAAGGTTACTTCGTGACCGCAGAGATGTGAGGGAGGAGGGAGAAGGGAAGGGTGGAATGGAGGGAGGGAGGGAGGAAGGGTGGAGGGAGGGAGGAGAGAGGAAGGGGGGAAAGGAGGGAGGGAGGGAGAAGGGAAGGGGGAAAGAGGGAGGGAGGAGAAGGAAGGGTGAAAGGAGGGAGGGAGGGAGAGAAGGAAGGGTGAAAGGGAGGGAGGGATGGGGGAGGAATGGTGGAAGGGAGGAGAGAGAAGGAAGGGTGGAAAGAGGGAGGGGGGAGAGGGAAGGGTGTGAGGGAGGGAGGGAGAGAAGGAGGAAGGAGGGAGGGAGAAGGGAAGGGTGTGAGGAGGGAAGGAGAGAGGAATGGTGTGAAGAAGGAGGAAGAAGGGAAGGGTGGAAAAGGAGGGAGGAGGGGGAAGGAGGAAGGGGGTGGAGGAGCAGAGAAATCCCACGGTCAACATCGGAGAGAAAAAGAAGGAAAGGACAAACGACCTTCCGCGCTGATGAAATTGGTGTTATTATCGTTTGCTCTTGATGCTTCGCTTTGGTTTTCCTTTTATATCTGTGTGTGTGTGTGTGTGTGTGTGTGTGTGTGTGTGTGTGTGTGTCTGTGTGTGTGTGTGTGTGTGTGTGTGTGTGTGTGTGTGTGCATAATTGCATCTATGTTTATCTTTTTGTTTATCTCTGTATTTCTTTATATTTCCTTAATTCTGTACCTGCGTCTGTTTCTCTCTTCCTCTTCTCCCATACCATACGCCTCTCTCTCTCACTTCCCTTCTTCCCTCCTCCTTCTCTCCTCCCTTATCTCCCTCCCTCTCCTCTCCTTCTCTCCTCCCTCCTTCCCTCCCTCTCCTCTCCATCTCTCCCTCCCTCCTTCCTTATCTTCCTCCCTTCTCTTCTCTTCTCTCCCTCCCTCCCTCCTCTCCCCCTCTCCCTCCCTCCCTCTCAAATCATCACTTCTTGCATCGTCTGTCGAAATTCCCTCCTTTTTTCTCCTCCCCCCCCCCTCCATCGCGAGAGATGGCGTAAGGAGCAAATTTTTTCTTATATATTGTCATTAGCGTGCGTCTCCCAGCGTGGACATGGCGCGGATTGCCAAGAAGATGTCAGACGTTTCGCGAGAGGGGCGTAAGAGCGAGATTGCCGTGGTGAAAGGAGGGGGGAAAGGGCCTTGGTGATTTCTTTTTTCAAGTTTTGATTTTTTTTTTATAGGAAGGGGGGTGTAATGTTTGATATTGTGTGTGTTTGTGTGTGTGTTGTGTGTGTGTTGTGTGTGCGTTTGTGTGCGTGTGTGTTGTGTGTGTGTGTGTGTGTGTGTGTGTGTGTGTGTGTGTGTGTGTGTGTGTGTGTGTGTGTGTGTGTGTGTGTGTGTTGTGTGTGTGTGTGTGTGTGTGTGTGTGTGTGTGTGTGTGTGTGTGTGTGTGTGTGTTGTGTGTGTGTGTGTTGTGTGTGTGTGTGTGTGTGTGTGTTGTGTGTGTGTGTGTGTGTGTGTTGTGTGTGTTGTGTGTGTGTGTGTGTTGTGTGTGTGTGTGTGTGTGTGTGTGTGTGTGTGTGTGTGTGTGTGTGTGTGTGTGTGTGTGTGTGTGTTGTGTGTTTGTGCATATGTGTGTATGTATGCATGTGCGTGTGTTTGTGCATATGTGTGTATGTATGCATGTGCGTGTGTTTGTGCATATGTGTGTATGTATGTATGTGCGTGTGTTTGTGCATATGTGTGTATGTATGTATGTGCGTGTGTTTGTGCAAGCGTATGTATGTATATAAGTGTTCATACGTTCACTCTCGCGTGTATGTATCCACCATCACATGTGCACATTGTCTCACCTACGTATCTACACGACTTAAGTACCTTTTTTGGTATGTGTGTGCGTGTGCATGTGCTCTCATGTGTACCTTTACGTGTGTGTATGTTCACCCATGTATGCCAATGTTCACAAGAGAATGTTCATAGCAGCGGAGAGCGCGGATGACATAAAACAACCGCCATGTTATCATTCCCTTGGCGTTTCTTGACGAACCAAAGGTGGGGTTTGAGGTGTGCAGGGTTATGAGGTGTTTAACGTAAACATAATGTTTATGTTGTTATTATTGTTGTTGTTGTTGTTATTTTTTATGTTAATTCATTTTCGTTATTGTTATTGTTATGATATTATTTTTGGTGTTACCGTTATTGTTAGTGTTGTTTTGTTATTATTTTTGTTATTGTTTTTATAATTATTAGTATTGTTGCTGTTATGATCTTATGATTTTTGTTATCATTGTTATTTTCATTATTGTTATTATCATCATCATCATCATCATCATCACCATTATTACTATTGTTTTTGTTGTTGTTATATTTATACGATGTATTTATTGCACATTTTAGATACATAGAGAAAGTGGTAAGATAACAGTACACACTAAAAAAACTATTTAGATGTATACTAAAAATACACATAATAATACTTAGCAAACAAGAACATAGAATAGAAGAGAAAGGAGAGGGAAAAAATGAAATAAACAAAAGTAAAACAGAAATAGAGGAAGAGAACATCGCCACCCCCCCCTTAAAGGGAGAGAGAGAGAGAGTGAGAGTGTGAGTGAGTGAGTGAGTGAGTGAGTGAGTGAGTGAGTGAAGTGAGTGAGAGAGAGAGAGAGAGAGAGAGAGAGAGAGAGAGAGAGAGGAGAGAGAGAAGAGAGAGAGAGAGAAGAAAGTCAGTGGAACAGAAAAGAAGAATAGAAATAGACCACAGGAAACCGAACAGAAAAGGCGACACAGTCACATTGGGAGAGAAATTACAGGCCTACCGGGTATCAGGGGGTATTAGGGGGCACCTAATACCAGGGTAAGGGAAGGGTAACCGGAAGTTCGGTTATGGCTTTACCTTCTACCATTTCTGGGAGTAAGAATGTCTTTTTTCTGTATTTCTGTTTATTATTCGCTCGACTCTTTCTCTCTTTCTTTCTCTTTCTCTTTCTCTTTCTCTTTCTCTTTCTCTTTCTCTTTCTCTCTCTCTCTCTCTCTCTCTCTCTCTCTTCTCTCTCTCTCTCTCTCTCTCTCTCTCTCTCTCTCTTCTCTCTCTCTCCTCTCTCTCTCTCTCTCTCTCTCTTCTCTCTCTCTCTTCTCTCTCTCTCTCTCTCTCTCTCTCTCTCTCTCTCTCGCACTTGCCTTCCTCTTTCAACAACTTCCTCTCATTTTTCCTGCCTCCCTTTCCTCTCCCTACCCCCCCCCCTTAATTAAGATCCAAACAAGCAAAACAAACAAGCAAAACCATTATTAGAAACGATAAAACAATTCTCTTTCCTCGTTTTTTTCCCTAACAACATTCACAAATAATGGCTCGTTAGCCCCCCCCTCCCCCCCTCCCTGCCCCCGCCCCCCTCTCGTTAATAAAACTTTAAGGAAGAATGTTAATGATAATTACCCTGTAATTAGCGCTGCAGTTGGGCGACGTCGGTGCATGATGATGATTATGACGTCATCGTATCGGTTTGGGTGGTAATTACTTGAGGTTGATAAATGGCCTTGGATAAATCAGAGGGGAGGGGGGAGGAGGAGGGGGTGGCACGGTTGAACAGCTAGTAACGAGCCTGTTGGGTTGTGGAGGTGGAGGAAAGGGGGGGAGGGGGAGAGGGGGGGGGTTTCTTTTTTCTTGTTTTTTTCTTGTTTTATTTTTTTGTCTTTTATTGTGTTGTTTAGGTTGGATATGGTCGTTTTGGTCACCTTTTGTTGTGTATATGGTGTTTATGTGTGTGTGTGTGTGTGTGTGTGTGTGTGTGTGTGTGTGTGTGTGTGTGTGTGTGTGTGTGTGTATGTGGTTTATGGTCGTTTGGTCACCTTGTGTATGGTTGTTTAAGGGGGTGGTGGGGCGGGGAGGGAGGGTTGTGTGTGTGCTGTAAGTGTGTAAGTATATATGGATTTGCGTTGGTATGTAGAAAAAAAAAGGAAGAAAGAATTGAGTAAATCGGCAGGAAATG